CTCAGCAGCTGAAAGCAGGTATCTGGTTTGTTTGGGTTCTATAATCGAAACACTGTTTCAACTCCAGCTCTGAGATCCTGGCTGGCTGAAAGCAGGTTTCTGGGGTTTTGTTTAGCTTCTATATTTGTAACAATGTTTCAAACTGCAAGCTCAGAGGCCGGCAGCCTCAGTCGGGGAACGTTGGCTTCCTCCGTCATTGAAGCAAGCAAGCCTCCTGTTAGCTTCAAGCTGCCTGGCTGCCGGCCACCATCTTGGTTGGCAGTTAATTTGCATATCGCCCTGATTAGCCAATGGGAAGGGTAGCGGAGGTACGGCTAATTACCATGTTTCTCTATTATTAGATAGGATATTAAATCAATTGTTTGGCACTACGGTGCTTACCACAGAGTGAAGTCTATAGCCCCAAAGTGATTCTTATGTGCTCTTAGGGTAATACTTCCCTAATAATAAATATTAAATAATAATAATAAAATAATAAATATTTTAGCATAAGAGAGGTTGTTTCAGTCTGAAGCATGAATCAGTCTGAAGCATGAATATGACCTATAACCACTTCCCACTCTTTGGATTTAATCACATTTAGGTTCAGAACATACCTACAGGGAACTGTACACTGAAGAAATTCTACCATCTTCTGAGCGTGCTGCTTTGAAGAATAATAGAAATCCAATCCATCTTAAAAAAAAAAACATGAAAATAATTCTGCAAAATAAGATTTTCCTCTACTAAGATGACTATATAACAAATCCTTTAAGAAAAGCTATTTCTAAACCTGTACTTTAGAGACTAGAAAAACAATGTACATGTCCACCAACAGCAAGCACTGTTAGCAAGAAATTTAAGAATGTGCTAAAGAATATTTATATTTTATTATTAATTAAAGAAATATTCATCCATCATTTAGTTGTATAAGTAGGCTACATCAACAGCAAGTGATAATATGCTCTAAAGAGCCATTATAAAATTATACAAAAAATTTTAAATTCCATCTTCAAGAAATCTAATTATATCATTTATCACTGTCTATTATTACTAAGTATAGTCTTCTGATTTAATATATCCAAACTAATAAAAGAGAAACATGCAAATTGGTCACTACACTATGCCCACCAGCCAATCGGATGAGTATTCAAATTAACCCAACAAAGACGGCGGTTAATTTGCATACGCAGGCGCAGAGCGAAGACTGAAGGCTCTGGCTGGACGGAAGACTGAAGACCGAAGACTGAAGAGGCTTGGCTTCTCCGCGGCTGCAGCGGAGAAGCCAAGCCTCGCTGTGGCCAGACCAAAGGCCTGGGTCCTGGGTGCCAGAGAAAACCAGTGCCGGCAGCCAGGGGAAAAAAGGCCTATTGCACGAATCTTTGTGTGACGGGCTTCTAGTCCATAATAAATGCCTTTAGGCATATGAAAAACAAATATACTACAGAATAACTTAGAGGTCTCAAAAATAACTTTCTTCCCATCAAAAACTGATCTCTGCTTAAAACAAATTTCCAATGAATTTTCTATCATAGCACTTGACAATCTATTAATGTAGTTACTGGTTTACTCATCTGCTAGCTACTTAGTATACATTTAAATTAAAACAGAAAAAAAATAAAAATTCAGTTCCTCTGTTGCACTAGGCACATTTCAAGTATCCAATAGTCACATATGGCTACTGGCTACATTCTGGACAGTCCAGATAAAGAACTAAGATTTTTTTTTTCTTCCTAACAGAAAGTCCTTTTGAACAGTACTACTTTAGATATTATCAGTAAAAATAAAAGAGTCCTTAGGTTAGCTGAAATAAAATTCTGACATCATTTCAAATGATTTTACATTTCAACTCACCATGAATTTCTTTGATACGAAGTGTATTCTGATGCATTCCATATTTCAAAATTAACTGTTCCAGATAGTAGAAAGTTTTTTTGTGCAAAGTCTAAACATAAATGCATTATTAAATTAATAGATGAAATGCAAAAAAAAAGCTATCTATAGATATAGCACACTGATTTTAAAACGAAAATAATTTTTAAAGATTATCTAAAATGCAATAGTGATCTATTTCTAAAGGTGATGCTCCAGGGACTAGCCCTGGTGCATAAAGGATTTGGAAAAAAGGGAAAAAGGAGGTTTTACTAGCTATTTGTTTTGTTTTGTTTTGTTTTTTTTATTAATTAAATCTTTATTGTTCAGATTATCACATTTGTTCCTCTTTTTTCCCCCCATAACTCCCCTCCACCCAGTTCCCACCCCACCCTCCTCCCTCACTCCCCACCCACTGTCCTCATCCATAGGTGCACGATTTTTGTCCAGTCTCTTCCCTCTTCCCGCATCCCCCTCACCCCTTTCCCCCCCAAGAATAGCCAGTCCACTCCCTTTCTATGCCCCTGATTCTATAATAAACACCAGTTTATTCTGATCATCAGATTATTCACTTGATTTTCAGATTCACTTGATAGATGTGTATTTGTTGTTTTACTAGCTATTTGTAACTGACGAAGATATACAAACTGGAGGATTCACTCATCATCTTTCATTACCTTTTGCCTAACTTGAACCACAGCCTTCCAGAAATCCTTAGCTTCTACTCTATGGCAATCTCCACACATCTGGGGCTGAACAACATAATCCACCACGAACACTTGCTGAAGGATAGCACCATTCATCACCTGATTTAAAAAAAAAACAAAAAACAATCATACTCCTTCATCCTTTCCTTTTGTTTAATAACAAATCATTTTCTTAAAAGAGGACACTTTCAATATGTAACTCAAAATTTTTAAATTAAGTCATACAAATAAGTTATACTATTTCAAGAAAGATATACAGGTTTAATTCGTAGTATTTATTACTATATTAACATTTCAAATTTACCTTCAGTTGAAATGGTTGAGAATTTTTTTTACAGAATTTTATATCTATACTAGAGGCCCAGTGCATGAAATTAGTGCACTGGCAGGGTCCCTAGCGGCTGCCAGCTGCCGGCAGGGTACTCACTCCCTTTCCCCAGCCAGCCCCAGCCCCTGATCAAACTTCCAGAGGAACTCCCAGTCAAGGAGACAATTTGCATACTACGCTTTTATTATATAGGACAGCCTATATAATAAAAAGCTAATATGCAAATCACCTGAACAGCGGAACGACCGGTCGCTATGATGCGCACTGACCACCAGGGGGCAGATGCTCAACGCAAGAGCTGCCCCCTGGTGGTCAGTGTGCTCCCACAGAGCCGGGCTCACAGCTGGCAAGGGCAGCGGCAGTGGTGGGAGCCTCTCCCGCTTCCACGGCAACACTAAGGACATCCCCTGAGGGCTCCCAGACTGCAAGAGGGTGCAGGCTGGGCTGAGGGATCCCCCAGAGTGCATGAATTTCATGCACCAGGCCTCTAGTATTTGCATATCTACTTATATAAAACCCTGGGTGTAACATCACGGCCAGAACCGCGACCAACCAGAAGGAAGTCAGTCCTGCAGGGGTTGTCTTGGAAACATAACTGCACCTTCCCCCTGAGCTGTTTCCTGTAAGGGTGGGGTTTGAGGCAGGATCCCGCCCTCGGAGAGTGGAGGCATATCTTTATAAAGTGTGCCGTACCACCACAGCCAAGGGTGAACCTGAGTGGGGGCGGCTGAAAGGCTTAGAAAAGACAGACAAGAGAATGAAATCAGGGTCTCGGTGGGATGCTGCTTCTCTGAGAGACAGCGACCACGCCCACAGCCCTGTCTTTATTTTATAGCAGATGCCACGAGGCAAAGTAAGGGCGTGACCAAGATGTTTACAACATTCTCCTGGGTTTCAATCCTACTCAACTACATGCACCTGAACTCTATCAAGCCCACATCACTCAGGCACGTGGGGCCACGTGTTTGGACCATAGGTTCAAGCTTACAACTATAGCTGTTGGCTATAATTGTGCTGGGAGGGCCCTGCCCCTCCAAGCTGGGACTTGCACGAGGCAATGAGAGGACTGTGCCCTCTCACCAGTCCAAGGCTTGAACCTGTCCAAAACACTGTAGCGGCTCCCCACAATAAAGTTTTAATACATTATATTAGAGGTTGTGGTGGTACTGTTTTACCCACAGCATCTACAGGAATTGCTGCAAATTTACTTCTCGGTGGAAGAACCTTTCATTCCCAATATAAATGACCAATTCAAGCACTCTGAAAGTGTTTTCACTCTTAATGTGGTGTACAGGGAGATATTAGAATAAGTTTAATCAATTTATCAGTCACTGTTTGCATCACTGTTGTTTTTATATCATGTTTTTGTTGTTTTCATATCATGTTTTTGTCGTTTTTATATCATGCCTCTGTTGTTGTTATATCCTTTTGTTACTGTTTATTTATTAATAAATTTATATATTATTTTCATATATATTTTACTAATTTCCTTTCATTTTTCACACTTCTCTTATAGAGAAAGGGCAAATAGCAATATTAAAATATCTCCACTAATTAATTCCCTTTTTAAAAAAAAATATATTTTATTGATTTTTTACAGAGAGGAAGGGAGAGGGATAGTTAGAAACATCGATGAGAGAGAAACATCGATCAGCTGCCTCCTGCACACTCCCCACTGGGGATGTGCCTGCAACCAAGGTACATGCCCTTGACCAGAATCAAACCCAGGATCCTTGAGTCCGCAGGCCGATGCTCTATCCACTGAGCCAAACCAGTTAGGGCAATTAATTCCCTTTTAATGTGCACGAATTTCATGCAACGGGCTACTAATGTATGTATAAAATTCATCCTTAGGAAAAAAAATAAGACAAAAACTCTCCTAATTTAATTGTTTCCAAACATAGCCAATCATCTGCAATCACCTGGGAAGCTTTTCAAACATACATATTCCTGTGTCTCACATCCAATAGAATCCATTTTGACTCAGTTACTATGAGTCATGATGATCACACAAGTTTGAGAAGCACTGTCTTAGCTCATATTTTTACTTCAATCTTTTTCCTAATAAAAATAACTTTGAGCCCAGCCAGATGGCTGAGCATCAACCTATGAACCAGGAGGTCACGGTTCAATTCCTGGTCAGGGCATATGCCCAGGTTGCTGGCTTGGTCCCCAGTGGGGGGAGGGGGGGGTGAGTACAGGAGGCAGCCGAACAATAGTTCTCTCTCATCACTGATGTTTCTTTCTCCCTCTCCAGTCCTCTCTGAAATCAATAAAAATATATCTTAAAAAGTAATAAAATAATAAATAAATAAATAACTTTGAAAAGATTATCTTATGGGCCCAAGTTGGGGTATTAAGCAAACCAAATAAATTGAGCAGTTAACACAAAAATAAGATTATCTTAGCCCATTAATCATAAGCAATGGTTGCTATTATTAGTGACCCAATCCTCTATGCCAGTGGTTCTCAACCTTCTGGCCCTTTAAATACAGTTCCTCATGTTGTGACCCCCAACCATAAAATTATTTTCGTTGCTACTTCATAACTGTAATGTTGCTACTGTTAGGAATCGTAATGTAAATATGTGATATGCAGGATGGTCTTAGGCAACCCCTGTGAAAGGGTCGTTCAACCACCAAAGGGGTCGCGACCCACAGGTTGAGAACCGCTGCTCTATGCAAATGATTCAAAAGAAAACAAAAGTTTAAATTAGGAGTGTATTCATGTCCTTTTAAGCTGTTCAAGTCATAAAGTAACTTACCAATAGCCCCTTCATTTTGACTACCTATATTTTAACCATGCTGAGAAAATTATGCACAGCTTACCTCTTTCTGAACAGTTAGTTTAACTTTAAGTCTCTTAGAATGGGGCTCAGTCCAAACAAAGCCTGCATCTACAAGCCGAACCTTCAATAAAACACAAACAGAACGAAACAAATTACCATGAGGAGAAAAATATGAAAGAACAGTTCATTAACAAATAAATTTCATAAGATGTTAAAGAAGTCTGTAATTAGCATCACTACCCAACCTAACCAGTAAAAAATAAAAATTTATCATGAAAGGTATGACAATAAAAACAGCAAATAAAAGGACAATCTGCCCTGGACAGTGTGCTTAGTGGTTAGAGTGTCAGCCCTCACACTGAAGGGTCACAGGTTCAATCCCGGTCAAGGGAACATACCTTGATTGTAGGCTCAGTTCCCGGCACCAGTCAGGGCCCATGCAGGAGGCAATCAATCAATGTGTCTCTCTCACATGGACGTTTCTCTCTCTGTGTCTCTCCCCCATCCTATCCACTCTCTCTAAAAATTAATGGAAAATCATCCTCAGGTGAAGATTAACAAAAAATAAATAAGAGAGCTTTTCATGCACTGAACACCGAATCCACAATGATAATACACTGCTAAATACACTGCTAAATAAGCAGGATCAGCAGAGACCAAGAACAGTTTGCTATGTGAGAAACTGAACGTAGACCAATATTGCTAAAATGGGTATTTTAAAGAAGGAGGTGAGAGAACGAGAGGCAGTTTCAATAATTTGAAAGTTGTAGGTGAGCTGAACTGAGAGGTGCTGAAAATAACAGAAAAAGATCCAAGAGCTATTCAGTAGATAAAATCTATAGGATTTAATTACTAGATATGGAAGGAAGAAAAGAGCATTCTAGAATGATGCTCAAGTATCCAGCTTGGGCATCTAGATAATGCTATTTTTCTGACACAAAAAATCAGATTTAATAGGGAGAAGATGCTACATTTGGTTTCAGACATTTGAGTTCAAGAGGATTTATCTATGAGATGTCCAAGTGAAGCTGTTCAGTAGATAAGACAACATTTAGTCTGGAGCTCTATGGAGAAATCTGAGCTCTAGACAACATATTTGGGAGATATAGGTGGCAGGTGATAATTTAATCAAGTCCTGGCTGGTGAGAGCTAGATTAGCTAGTATAGCTGCAGCAATCCAGAATATATTGAGGTTTAACTGTACACAAAAAACTGACTCCAGAAATAAAGGAGACAAATCAGAAAATAGAAAATAAATTTTAAAAAACCTATTAACAAAGCCTCAGTAAAATTCAAGAACAGAATGCATCAAGACTGAAACTTAAAAATATTACTACTGGGGGGAAAAATCAATACAAAGACAGGAAGATAAAGTAAAGAAAACTGCCAAGAACACAGGGAAAAAAAGACAAAACAGTACAACATAAAGATTTAAAGGAATACAAAAGGAAAAAGACAAAGTTTAGCAATGGTTTTATACAAATATTTCCCAAGAAATTAATTGCATGTAAGAGGTTCTCCATAAATAATGAATGACAAATTTGATTGTATATTAAGTCTTTCAAAGCAGGCAGATTTTCACTTTCATAAAAAAGAATATATGTAACTTTAAAAATGAAACATTTGTAGTAGAGTGCTTACCAACAGTATCATTTAAGTTACTTTTGAAAAACCTACTTACACAAGGATTTTCCGAAAATGAGATATTAAAAAGGTATAAAAGGTAGCTATTTGACCTACCTTACTCAGAGGGGCTTTGATTTTTTTCAAACACAAAGCAAGAAGTTCCCTGGATTCTAATGCACATTGTATCCAAGTTCCTGGTGGCTGGAAATATCTGAGAGAGAAGATAATATACTGAAACCCAGCCTTTCTCAAGGAAAAACAAAAAATTTCCATCAATATGCAGATATAATACTGATTATTAACCAGATATAATAACCCAGGGCTAATCTGAAGCACTTATCCCAAATATACTTTAATAGTTCTAGAAAACTTCCAATTAGAAGTGTAGTTTTAGTTAAAAAGGTAAAATTCTGGGTATTTGCAAAAAATAATCTAAAATAACCTATTAAAGAGGTCTTATTCTTCAAACACCAGTAAGAGTTCCAGTGAGGATGACAAAATTGATCAAAAGTTCCATGAATCTCAAAATGGCATTAAAATGATTTGTAGCCCTAACCGGTTTGGCTCAGTGGATAGAGCGTTGGCCTGCAGACTGAAGGGTCCCAGGTTCGATTCCGGTCAAGAGCATGTACCTTGGTTGCAGGCACATCCCCAGTAGGAGGCAGCTGATCAATGTTTCTCTGTCATTGGTGTTTCTAACTCTCTATCCCTCTCCCTTCCTCTCTGTAAAAAATCAATAAAATATATATTAAATAAATAAAATGATTTGCAATGTACTTGTATAATGTTAGGGAACTGCTTATTTCTCACACTAAAAAGTAAATTAGTACCACATACTATGTACCAATATAGTTCAGACTATTCATCTATTTCAAGTCCCTTTCCAAATTTTAACTGTAAAACTCAAGTTTTAAAATCTTTCATAAAACCTAAGTTAAAATTGAAATCCCTTATGCATGTGCTTTAAGTTTTTTAGCCCAGCCCACCCAGGACTTACAACCATGCCCAGCACATATTAAGTGCTCAATAAATGCTTGTTAAGTACATGATACATTAATGTGCTAGGCAAATACTTTTTTTGCTACACTTTTAAAGATTCATTCAAAAATGTTATACAGGTCCCTTTGTTGTAAGCATGTTTTCAGTTAGAAAGGGCTTCATATATCTATATATATAAAAGCCTAAGCGACCAGTCAACTGTTCGCTGTGACACGCACTGACAACCAGGGGGCAGACGCTCCGACCGGTAGGTTAGCTTGCTGCTGTGGTCCCGCTGAAAGCTAACCTGATCGTGCACCGGTAGGGTCCCTCAGCCTGGCCTGTGCCCTCTCGCCATCTGGGACCCTCGGGGGATTTTGGAGAGCCACAGGCCAGCCCTAGGGACCCCACGCCACCAGTGCTCATGCACCGGGCCTCTAGTCATCTAATAAAGTTCCTTCATTCTGATGAAGAAATTAAGGCTTAGAGTGATTAACTGGCCAAGAGTTTCAAAAAGCTAGTTTGTGAGAAACCCAAGGCAACTAGGTATCCTGATTCTTTGTCCAGTGCTTTTTTCATTCCACCATTCTTTTAAGAATAGCAAATATTTATCATACATTTAGCCTCACACTTGCAAAGCTTGCAAACTGTAAACCCCCTGAAACAGTACAAACTTTCATGTATTTACATATGTACACATTTTAAGTATTTTGCTTGGGAGATACATTTTTCAAATTCTGAAAGATTTGTAACCCCTCCCCTTCAAAAAAGTTAAGAACTACTATAATCCTAATCCATTTGGGAAATCAAAGGCATATAATTTGTACAGACAGGTTTCATTGGGCAGGTTTG